AACCCCCTTTTGCCAGGAAAAGGTCCCCTCTGGGCAAAATTTTATCTAGGTACACGAAGGTTTCGATGTAAAAAGTCCACATTTTCAGAAAAATAACCCCCATTTTGAAATTGCTGGCTACGGGCCTGCCTCCTGACGTGTAACTGCACAGGAATTTTAAAAAGATAACCAGAAAAAATGCCAAGAAAATATCCGTTTATAAATTCTATCAATACAATTACTTACCACATCGCACTCAAATTGCACTGACACCTTGGAATTGTCGGCGAGGAGAATAAGAACATAGCAGTACAGAAAATAACTCGATCCTATATGGTGCACATTACTGCCAACTAAGACTGTTGCATTCATATTGTGAATTATATTGTGAATTGTTATTTAGGGAAATGTCGATTCAAACGCACGGCGCATCTCACAACATCAAACCCTTGCCATTCCACGCACAATTATCCACCAGATTGAAGCAGCTGCAAAGAGGAAATCCCTTTAATCCAAACTATTCCTTTATGACTAATTGCCGCAATTAATATACCATCTACACAGTACAAATTTTTGCAAAATATTGTAGATTAATGGGTCCTTAACAAAATGCTGTCCAGGAACCTTAGTAACAAATTGCTTTTATTGGTTACTACGAACTAATGAAGACACAATTCTAGATATGATCAGGTGCAGTAATCATGGAATTAAGGTATTGCATATTCGCTTCATGACGAAATACTATTGATTGACGTGAGAATCTTATGGTACAATACCACTTAGTCAAATGGAATGTTTCGAAGAACCATATCGCGAAGTTGACTTTCAAGGAAAAAAACGAGTAAACTATATTTAAAGATAGAGTCGATCGATACTAAGTCATTGACTCTCAATGAAAAGACTAGACAAATAGCTGGACGGAATCTCAGAAATTCACTGAACTTATCTGGACACGTTATTTGACGTATTTTAGTTTTGGACTGTGATGTCTTTTGAAAACATGAAGTTTTTCAGCGCGTGCTTCGCCGTTTTTCCTGTCTTTTACCAAGGTTTGTATCATGAAGCGTCTTGGAAATAATTTAAACTGTGAATATTTATAAGTTTCTCTGTGAAGGGGGTCTAGTTAATGATTGATTTTTCAAGCTTTTTTATCAAATAAATCACACAAGGCTTTAGACATGTACAGTAACATTAGGAACTGATTAACGGAGAATTAATGTTTCAACAGTTTTCTGCTGGGAGGTGTACCAAAGTTCGTACTGGAATTCAGACAACGGAGCCCTGGCATTTGATAACGATACAGATACTTGCTTTACGTCGGGTATTGAACCAACACCATGGTTAAAAGTCGAGTTGGACAACAAGAAACTCATCTCTTCGCTGACTTTTCAAGGTGAGAATGCCACACATGCTGCCATTAAATTAAATATATTGTATATGTTAATATTTGAAATTTTGTCAAAATGCATATAAATCCACTGGATCTTAAATACTTATTGGATATGTGTATATCATGCAAAGCATGTAATTGCCATTGGATTTCTTCATACTTCGCTTTTAAAAAATTACTGAGCTTGTTAATCTGCTAAGTTCTCAGAAACAGCTTCGTCAAATGTCTTTTTTTTTCTTTTCTATTTATCAAATTACAATTGTAACATCCATATACTGATTTTCCACTAATGAAATGGAGTAATTAAAATAGTATGTCAAAGATCAAAATGATCGCAAAGGAAAAAAAAATAAGTGCATTTTTATTATATCCGTGGAAATGAAAGAGAAAAAAATGAACGATAACCTACTACATGTGCATGTTCTGTAAATAGTCAGGGAAAGCGATGACGAATTTAAACGAAAAGAATGAACAGACGAATGAATAACAGTTTGATAGCTTGAATTTCTTGTGGATAATTCGTAAACTGGGCCATTTCAGGTTGCTTCATCACGCATCTTGATTGCAGTACATGATAGGTAACCTTTTTTCGACCATGATCTATTTTTTAAACCATAAACAATAGCTGCATTAAAAATATTGATCAAAACGGCGCAGCTGCATTTCTATGAGATGTTGTCAGTAACGAAGGATGCTGAATTTTCTATCATTTACAATAGAACCGTTGGTCTTGCAATTACCCAATCAATCAAACGAACTATCTGTGCATGGCAGGTTGTATTTTAGATTGCAATATTTTAGAAAAGCATGCAACATTTGCAAACAAACCTCAAGAGAAGAGAAACGTTCACACTACCCGTGTGTTCTGGTTCTGGAAATGACCACAAAGGATATACGGAACATCAAAGCGGTACTGCTGTCCCGTTTGGGGGGGGTGGGGGGTGGTTAATTACTTTTTCGTTTTCTTTACGACGTACACACTTCAGGATTACGCATATGTTATAAAGGCACTATAAAGAAATCACATTAAAAGACATTTCTTTTCTCTAAAGTGCAAGTGTTGTTCAATGTAACAAATACTTGAATTATTTAATATCCTTGCTATCTCTTTTCTTTTGACAACATACATTTTTATAAAGGGTGGTTGTTTAAAACACTTACATGCTGCCATTAAGCAGAACACATTGATCATTATTGTTAGTATTAACCCCAACTTTCTTCAAAACCTACTCCAAACAGGACTGGCTGAAATAATAATAATTAAAGGGATTTTTTCATAAAACTGCAATAAGTTACTATAACAATACTCAATTCTAATAAAATTGACATTATTTTTACTTAAAAGTTCTATTTCTGAGTATGAAAAAATTAGGCCTAAAATATCTCTTATATACAAACATCATATCAAACAGGTGTTGCAACCCTGTCGGGTTTTCTTTCCTCTCCTGAATAAGAACTTTTGTGATGTGATGTCCTAGTGTGTTTGTGGATATCTTGTGTCACATTATGAAAGACCTGTTGGAGGTATCTGCAAGGCCGGTCACTTTCCCTTTTCACTTCAAAATCTTTCTTACTTTGAAAACGACATATTCATCTACATGCATTTTTTTCAATTGTGAATCTCTCGGAGAGGGATAGGGGTCATTTGACGTTGGATCTGGTGCAACTGTACTATTAACATGAATGATGGTCACGAAATCGTTAACTGCAGGTCAAAATAAAATAGGGCCTACTTGTTTTGCCACCTTAAACCTTAACGTTAACTTTTATATTTCAACTTTTATTTATGGATTTCCAGGTCTCCAGGCGGGCGACTATCGAATCCGAGTTGGAGACTATAATAATAACCTCGGCGACGGCTCGAGTGACATTGATCAGAATACTTTGTGTACCTCTTTCCAACATTCCGGCAACATAGGGCTGATAACAGTCCATTGTCTCCGAGAGTTAGAAGGGAAATATGTCACGTTACAGAGAATCAATCCAAAGAGCCCTGGGCGCGGGCTGCAGCTGTGCGAAATGACTTTTTAGTGATTGCCATATAGAGTGTTCTTTTGTCATTGAATTTGTATTTGATATGTTGCTAAGATATGTTTATGCAATCAACAAGTTAATCGATGTGAAAAAATCTAGATGCTGTTTTAGGAATAAACAGAAATAACAGCTACGTAAATTATAACAAAAAACTAGAAAAGCACTCCGAGAGCGCAGACCTCCGCCAAGACAGCGATTTTTGATTATTATTGATTATTGATTGATTACTGATCCGGATCACCACCAAAAACTAATCTTCCCTTCCTTGGCCCACTTCTGACAGTTCCTGAAAATTTCATCAAAATCGGTCTATAACTTTTTGAGTTATGTTGATGACAGGCAAACAGACAAACAGGGGTGAAAACATAACCTTATTGGCGGAGGTAAAAATGGTGTACGGAACCGATAATGTGCAAAGGAAACCATCCATTAGATTTTCATTAATACTGGTATGAATCCCGATGGCAGATTTTCCTCTGTGTACATTCTAAAATTAATTTGTATAATAAAAAATAAAAACCGTAAGATTATTCGCATCTAGGCTAGTACAGACCCGAAGAACGTCACGTACCATACCGACACACAATGGCAAATTAAACCATTCACCATTAAAAAAAAATACACTCGCAAACACGATTTTGATTTTTGTAATTCCCGAGAAGATAACCGGTGTGCTCTGATTTATCAACACAGTATAGATATTAAGGCGTTAGGTAAAATGTTTCATTCATTTTCCTGTCCACAGATCACCCAGTGAGTAAATTGATAAACATACCCAGTCGGCGTCCCCAAGAGCCGTCGCATTTTAGATATTCAGGGTTTTAAGGCAGTGATATGAAACGCAAAGCGTTCAACTGTAGACAGCTAAAGAAACCCGAACAAAAAATGCTATAGATTCATTTAGCCAAGTGGCAATTAATCTCAAAATGTCCCAAAGGCGACAGTACAGAAAAGCTCGTTACCACAAGAACCTATTATGAGACACGTCTGACAAACTCATCAGTTGACTTGTAGCTTGCTTTCGCGACAGTAAATAGCCCATTTTTTTCTCCTTTTTTGCATCTGCCATTAATAAAATATGATGCGAAGTACTGATTTATGAATATCGAAAAAAAATCCAATTTTTTTCAGAAGAAGGGCATGGCTGCCACAGACCAGGCGGCTGAAGTGCGTTTCACTTAACCCTTTAATGGCAACCCTGAATAGCTTCATCGTGCTTCATTTTCTTTACGCGGCGTTTGGTTTTGTCAATATTTACCATCGTTTCCCTAGAGTCGCTCGATTAACCCGTGGCATGTTTTGTTCAGGTCTCTTCAGATATGTCCAGTTGGGAATGAGATTGCTGCAGAATATGATTAAACGTACTGATTGATAATCATTATGTGATCTATACATGTACCAAGTTGGCGTCGGTTGATGAGAGGAAAGAAAAATGCGCTACACCAATAAAAACAAATCACTGTCTCTGACTTCAATAATGATGTCAACAATTCCTGTGTATATTTCGTCGTCTGATCAGAAAACGCTGCAGGCCGGTTTAGGGCCTGTCGCTAGGATACACCGGGATACCTTTATTGCGGTCTTCAGATTATGTTAAGAATAAAATAAGGTAATAATGATGATGATAGTAATGATATAAATATTCGCCAGTGCTCTTGGGCAAATTCAGTAAAATATAACTATAATGACGCCATTTCAATGACACAGGCCGTGTCCCTCTCGAATCAATGTTGAAAAGATTGATAAAATGTTATTGGGCTGAACGGTTTGCCTTGGACTGTCTTCACTATTACATTCATTGCCGTAACAGATAATATGAATGTGTTCTCCATGCGTTCAGCATTACCTCTACTCCGCATTTCAGGGGTACGTCTGTAGCCCTATGTCTGATCCCTAACGCACGACTCGATAAAAAATGCACATTTTAAAAACTTGAAATATTTCTGGATACGGTTTAGAGTAAATGTTTTATTTTATTTTCATTTTTAGTATTTTATTCTTATTCTTTTAGTATCCAATACATTTGGTTTTAGATCAAAATGCACAGCTACTAACTACAGCAGGTAGGCCTACATGTAATATGTGACAATGCAATAAACATTAAAACAAAGCTGAAGCTGACGAGTAATCATATTTCGACTAATTTACAGAAAAAGCTAGTATGGTAGCTATCACAAAAAGAAACGTTTGTGTAACTACTCTTAACCCTAAGGAGCGAGTTTTTGAAGTACTGTGTTCAATGCTGACCCTCCTGGTTGGAACAGAAGTTGGAACTAGAGGAGTAAGGTCGGCTGAATGCCCACGACTTTCGTCTTCATCATCGTCATGGGAATTGAATCTTAACCGACTAAACCAGTTGTGCGTTGTGGTTCTGCCATCTACAAAAATGGGTCTTTCATCGTTCTCCATGTTTGATAAAAACCCAGCGTTGATGATTGTCGTGGTTTTTACAAATGTGCTTATAACTTTTTGACCTGTTGAGTTTGAACTGAGTGAAAATGCTGACGTGGCGTGATGCTGTATCGTATTTGATTTTATAGGAATTGTTATATTATTATCCATTTGTATGGCGGTTGCAGTTTCTGCAATCATTGGCAGTATAGTTGAGGCAACGGCGGTGCTGCCATTGGTAATGGTAGTAGTTGATAACGCAGTTGTATTCACTTCGGTCGTTGTGGTTGTGGGGTTGACTGTAGGCATACTGGAATTTTTGACAATGGTGCTGCTGATCGGACTGGTGGTGCTAGAAGTGGTGGTGGTGATTGTCGCAGTGGTGGTTGCTGTGGTCGCACTCGCAGTACTACTGGTAGTCTTGGGTGCCGAAGCAGATGCTGCCATGTTGCACCGCACTTGGAGAGGAAATTCTTCGGAACCTTTGCAAAATAATCAAGTATAAAACATATATTGGATTATTGAAACAAACTTCGGTTTATTCTTTTTCTTTTACATTTCTAATAATCATCCCCCACGTATATATAGGGCCTACGTGTTTTTTTGACAGAACTTAGTACCATGCGCATGATACATCATTCATTTGAGGTGGGCGGTAACCTTCACCATTCCTATTGTAAAACACTGACTTACCCATAAAATGTAACCAAAAACCTTTCCGCGTTTCCAAGTTTTTGGAACCCTCGGGACGTTCTTGACTGAAGAAAAATATGTTCATTTTGCCAACAGCGGAAAAAATACCATATGCTGAGCTACAGATTTTTTTAGAAGTATTGCCTCCAACCGGTCCTATCTCAACCCAATCTATACAGTGGGCGCTCTGAAGCATCATGTCCAGAATTTCCACTTTCACTTCTTGATTTTTCAGTGCATATATTTCACAAGAACACTTCTTGCCAGGACTATACACGTTAGGATAATTTGGACTCTCTAGAAAACCACTGGTGATGAAAAACTCTCCCTCTTGACATATGTTGTGAATTGTAGATTCTAAAAAGAATAAATGAGAACAGCGTACAGTTTTGTCAATACAACTTTGTGTCAATGAAGTTGAAAGTGCACTATATTACTACTGTTTGAAGAACAGTAGGCCTCCAAAAAAGAACAAGTATTTTGATGAAAAGCCTAAACCATTGCAGTATGTAAATGTATGCAAATGTTTTAAAAATTCAAAAGAAAATTAATTGGAAATGTATGATGAAGTTACCGATATGCGACAAAGACAAAACAAATGCAGCATGTGTAGCTAAATGACGATATTTAAACAATTATACCATGAGTTCTTGTTGGTACGCATATGACCTACCTGGCACGCACTGGTACTCCACGTATTGGTACTCTGTCACTTGTTCTTGGCAGAACACATGGTTGACGATAAGATTACTGCACTGTCGCCTTCCACCGCACAACCTCACCACGTGGCTGTGCTCAATGTCATTCTCTATAATACAGTCGCCCTCGTGGTATGCACACGCGCCGTCTGTGCCTCTGCCGTAAACATCGGTAAGTATTCTAATTCTCTCATTGAATTCGCAACGGAAAGTAAGCAGTTGACCAAAGCAACCGCTGACACTCAGGACATGTCGAGCCCAGCTGAGATCCTGCGTTGTAGTAGGCAAAGCAGTCGTTGTAGGTCTATTTCGTGCACGCGTTTCTGACGGTACTTCTGAAGTTAGCTTAATAAGGGAAGTGTTATCTGGACGTTTGGATCGGTCACGGTCGGGAACATTGAGCGTTACATTTGGAATGTAATCGTTACACAAAACCGTTAATTCTTTCTCCGAATCTTCAGGCAGAACTGTGAAAAAAGTGAATAAAAATGTGATTTTGAATATATCAATCCGTTTTGCAATTTATAAAAGTTATATATTGGAGAGATATGTACTGAAGCTCCATCTGTATGATATTAGAATTGATTGGTACCACAAAAAAGAAGTTGGTAGATACTATTATATATTAATATATAGTACATTGATTAATGAGCATAAGACAGCATAAGATTTGAAAACGTGAAGAGGATCTTGCATACTTTGAAAATAGAGCCAAAACCCTCTGTATCTTGACGCGTCTTCACTGTGGAATTCCACAGTGACATTACGAGTCACCCTTTCTACTGGCGCCGCGCCGCAGATCCTCTCCGTTTGGCCGTCAGAGGGCGTGAGACCGAGCCAATCGTGACAAGGTCTGCCGTGCTTGATATCGAGCTTTAGAATGTCCATGTAGACTTTTGTTCCACCAGTTCCACTGATGAAGCATTGGCACTTCTCTGTTGCTGGGTAGGTGCCAGGATAGCCCGGAGAAGCCAGATATGCGCTGTTTACTGATAGAGACACATTACTGCAAATGTTTATGATTGAAGATCCTGAAACGCAAAGGATAGCCACATATAACACACACACACGCGCACACAACAAACAAACAAGGAAAAAACCGAGACGACTTATCAGTCTTCAGTTTTATGTTTCTTTGGCAAATTATCAAAGAATATCAATATAACCAACAGAAGGATTAAAAGAAACAGATATACTGTGGTACATATAAAATATGATTACACCCCCGCCCCTTGAAAAAAAATTAATCCACTTGAATGAAATGAAAACTTTGATGTTTTAATATTAAAATACCTCATGGTATTGCCTGTGGAACATTTTGTCTCAATACATCTCTCAGTGATCCTTGCGGCGCTTGGTACAATATGTAATCCCACTTTCGAGCATAACTCCAATACTGATATTTGTAAGACTAATGGCATTTTATTTTCACCATGTGTCATTTTGATGTGGGAATAAATGCTACAAAAACGGGGACTGAATCACGAGTTCGCAACAGCGATCATTCAAGATTCACCGCTACGCCTGTAACTATTACCCTGAGTGTCAGAGCAACGTAAAAGCTAGCTTGTTAAATATATACCTTGTAATGGAGTCGCTATTGTTGATATGGGTTTTATAAGAAATTAAGATCGAGCTGGCAATACCGGAATCTAGAACCTAGGGTAGTAACTATGGCATACCTCGCTCATGGGATTATTATGAAACAAAAGTCTAATGTTATATTGAAAGAGGTGGCTCCTTCGGCTCTAACAGAGACCAAGTACAGTGTAGAGCCGTATTTTGCAACAAAACGCATTTTGAAACCGGTTGCAAAATGCACCGCCACTAGCAGTTTTTTTTCTAAGTCACTGAAACGGTTGGAGGAACAGCTACAGAGAGACACAGGTGGGGTAATGATGGGATTATTACCTCCGCCAAGGAGGTCATGTTTTCATCCCTGTTTGTTTGTTTGTCTGTTTGTCTGTCATCAACATAACTCAAAAAGTTATGGACCGATTTTGTTGAAATTTTCAGGAACTGTCAGAAGTGGTCCAAGGAACAGATGATTAGTTTTTGGTGGTGATCCGGATCAATAATCAATCAGTAATCAATAATCAAAAATATCGAAAATTTAGGGGTAAAACCGGATTGGATGGAGACTTTGCTACCTTGGCGGAAGTCTGCGCTCTCTGATTGCTTTTCTAGTTCTAATATTAAATACTGATGGAACAGAATAAGGGAATTGATATACCTATCATCAGAGAGGTGCAAGGGCACTTCGCAAACGCAGGCGACTAGCTGTCCCCGAGGTTGGATGATCCTATTTTCTACAAAGTGCTTTCCGCTTTATCTTCCTAAATTTTTAATTTTGGGATTGGTAGAACTTGAATCAGGGATGTGCAAGTACAAGTTCGTCACATCAATGGTTTCGAAAGGATACCAGAAATTACACCGCGCAAAAGAAAAAAAAAGAGACTGCTCAACCCTTATTTGCACTGAAATTCAAGAGGGTCCGTGCACGTCCCTGATAATAGAATTATAAAGTTTTAAGTTCCAACTTTAAAGGTCCGTACATAACACACTCGTCTAGGAGCAAAAAGCAGAAATTAAAATGTATAAAGAAATTAAATCCCCCAAAGACAGTCCCAACAGATTCGGCGTGCACCGTCAGTGTATTTATAACCTCATCTCGGCCACACTTCTGTTTCTCTATAGATCTTTAAAAAATTCAGAAGAAAAAAGATGGTTACAAAATGCATTGTGGTTCCAAAATTTATATTCATGTTTTTCTCTGGTTGCAAATTGCTTTGCGGCTGCAATAAGCATTGCGGTTGCAAAATGCAACTCTACTAGTAACGTTGCATTTTGCAACCAACCGCATGATGCAACCGGTTGAAAAATACATTTGGTTTCCAGATGCGGTTTTACAACCGTTTTGGTTCACATTAACATGCTACGCGAACGATGCCTTGAGGCATTATGTACCCTGCGTGAGAAAATTACTACATTTATGAATAATCTCCGACCTAGCATAGATGCTAATCAAACCAGTTACTAATACAAGATTTTCCACGAGTAATTTGCTGTACTATTTATATTTTACATATTTAAACGACGTCCTAGAAATGTGCGAAAGAAAGTTCTCGATTGATATTATACTATTAACTTTGATTGAAGGCATTCAAGTCCCGATTTCATTATTGTAATTGTACTGCAGCTGTAGCTCGACTGTTTGAAGCCAGATGGTTTATCTTTATGTTATAATAATCAATTTTGTCCTAGTAAAAGTAATACGTAGGTTAAGGTGAAAAAGATTTACGTCCTCTTTTGGTCTACACATATGGACACACATTTTTACCTTGCGCACAAATGAATTCTATCTCTTGATATGTGGTGTGCTCAGCAGACTGCCTTGGACAGATCTTCTGTTCAAATTGCACGAGATCGCATCTATTCTTCCCGTTACAAAGATGCCTTGCACTGGTTGGTCCGTACATAACACACTCGTCTTGAGGAGAGCGGTGACAGCGCCTAGCTGCGCTAAAACCAAGGACCTCCTTCAAGATATGTATCTGTTGTCCAACTGGGCATTGGAGAAGAATTGGTTCTCCGTGACAGGCGCTAACGGTGTGAGGGTCAAGTCCTACCAAGTATACCAATCAGATATAGTGCATGAAGGATGCTCGTAATTTGAGAAATCTGGTTAAATAGTCTGATCTTCGCAAACAGAAAATGTCGACCTCGTATTAAGAATTATATATTTGATAGTACACATAGAATGTCGATGTGAAATATGAAATTCGTCCAACTTTTGGATGAAGGCTGCCCCTCTCCTCTGCCCCGACAACCGTCTAAGAATAACTTCGGACAGATTTGACATTTAATTTTATCACTGTATACTAATAAATATAATACGCATTGAACGGAGACCTACATATGTTTAAAATCAGAAATTTTCTGTCAACATATTAATTAATACTTTCTTAGAAGAACAACTTACCTTTTGACAATTTTAAAACAACAAATATCAAAGTTGGCAATAACATCCTGTAGAATATGTAGTGAAACAGACAATGGTATTCTGGTCTTTATATCACAGTATGTTCTGAATACGCGGTTTTCTGCTTTGCCCCAAGGTTCTAGTCACCTGCATTGGCATCATACTAACGGCATTGCCGCCAGGCGTATGGCAAAACTATTCCGGTTAGCAGTGCTCAATGCCAGTACAGTAAAAAAATTACTTGTAGTAACACAATCCCGGCTTTACTGACAAGCAATATTCTTAGAAAAGTGTGACGTAAGGAAACAATCTGAGCTGTCACAAAAATTGGTTTTAACTAGGCAGCAAATATGCAGACACTTATCAGAAAAGTCTTTCTCATTTATCATTTTTTTACACAAATAAGCACATTCCAGTAAACATCGGGAAAAGCTAACTTTTCATTGTTTACAGTGACACACTTCACGAGTAGTCCGAAGAGTGTATGCCTACCTTCAAAAACATGAATGCGTCTTTTGCACTATTCTATCCTTAAAATAAGAAAGTTTTGATAAAATTCTAATGTCAAAACTTTATGAGGCACAATATTAGATTGAAAAAAATAATCACTGGATAACAGGATTGTATTCCATCAAAAATGTGCCATAACTTTCACACAATTTTTGGATCTGAACCTGCATTTTACCAAAAAAAAAAAAAAAAAAAAAAAAAAAAATATATATATATATATATATATATATATATATATATATATATATATATATATATATATATATATAATAAATGAATAATAAAAAATAAATAAAATAATACGTCAATTAGTGCCAAAATGCATTAAAATGTTTTTCTTAAAATAACTTTGTCCAATAGCTAAAGAAAGAACAGGCCAGTTTGATTTACAGTATGGTTTTATTTCCTGTACTCAACTTTTATTCAATAGCATTAACCACTAGAGATTTTGTCATATCAATATTTATACTAGACAAGCATTCATTTTTGACATATTTCTAACCTATCTTAAAATTTTAATTATTCATTAATTAATAAGTGTTCATCACCAAAATCTAATCATTTCTTCCTAGGGCCATTTGGGACCTATCCTAAATATTTCATCAAAATCCGTCCATTACTTTTTGCGTAATGGTGTGCACAAACAACAAACTAATGGGAAGCAAAATATAACCTCCTTGATGGAGGTTATAAAACAAAAAATACCATATGGGACCACCATGTGGAGAATGCATGTAATCATAGTACAACATACTTAGCAAAAATTATGAAAACCTGCAGCATCAAGCAGCTAGAATCAGAACTCAAGTATCTTCCTGTTGAATATCTAATGAGTTTATTTTAAAAGTATTTCATTAAATATTTGAAAGATAAATTGTCCAAAGTCACATTTTCTTTGTATGCATATCCTGCAAAGCTACTTTTCTTTTAAATTTAGACCTAAAAATGATTAAACCACTCACTGACAAATAAAAGTATGACAAATAAAAGTATGTCAATATTCCTTCTGAAATATACAGAAAGACAGCAGTCTAAAAGACTGACTGGGTATTTGGTGAATCACTTAATTAAAGATGATATGAAACGGAATCCAAGTGCAGGATATGATCAAGCAATGGTTTGTGAAAAGGAAAAAATGGTTCATTTTCCAATGATATTGGATTTGGTTGGAAAATCTCAGAAAGGTGACCTTTAATTAGATCTTCCTCCTCTAAGTATGTCATGAAAAGATTTCACAATTTCACCACATAACCATATCATTTACCACCATTCACATCAAAAAAAAAATGTTGCCATCTTCTGTGGAATATTAATGAAGCTTGTTATGAAATGTCTTCATTATAAGGCAGAAGGAATGTTGAGTAATTAGATTACTGCATGACCAAGAACCTGACACATAGTGTGTCTGGTTGACAAGGCCTCTGCTCCTGTTGAACTTCTGGTGAGACCAGTCACCCGTTTCTTCTTCCCTATGCACAAATGCTTCACTTCAGCCATTTCCTTGCTCTTTGACTTCTGGGTCAGCCACATCCACACCTTCAGTAGCAGACTTCACAAACTGTTTGTTATGTTTGATTAGGAATTTCTGACAAGACCTGATGGTACCTGAAGTATTTAATAATCTAATTCAAAAACGATGTTTCAATAAAGGAAATAACATATACTCACTGAACAAGTGAATATGCATATATGTTATTTGAAATGGCACTGGATAGAACAAAAATTTAGTTCTTTGGTTAATTATTAATGCAACATGTTTAAACATTTCAAGTTTATATATTTGACAGTTTGACAACTAATCACACACTGAGTTGGACCATCTAAGATAATTTTCATAACTGGAGTGATAAAATTATTTTTCAATTCTTTTCAAATTCTGCAATAATAGATCTGGAGTGAACTTCTCTTTTCATTGTACAATCTTTACCTCCTAAATGTATTGTTCTCAGAAATGCCTCCTGGTGTCCTATTTTCTTTACCAGTGGCAGGGCTGACCCCACTAGCCTATGGTAATCTCTACCAGCTCGAATCATCACCATGTTTGTGTCTGGATTAAGATAACTAACTGAAATAAATGAAATTGATATTAAATATGAATTTACAAAATGATATTTTAGATGAAATCTGGATGCAAAATAAAACATTGTTAATAGGTGTTTGACCAGAGGTTTCAATGAAACTGGAAGAGGGATCAAAACTTTGTCTCAAGACACCAATTACTGAGACATGGGACAAAATCACAGATCCTAAAAATGTAAAGCTTTGCATGAAATGCCATGTCTTCATCTACTGCCATTCTGATTAAAAAGACAGCAAATGAAAATTACATTTAACTATATAAAAAAAGGTCATTTTGTGAAGGATTGATGTTCTACCTTTTTCTATTACATGGTTATATTAATATCATTTAATGTCTATAATAGGAAATACCACTGAATGATCCCATTAGAACCCCCTGCCCATAGTCTCCATGCAGATCCTGTACTTCTTTCTGAACAGCTTTGAACACCAGTCTCTCAGTAAATCCCCCTACCAAGTGGGTTCCTTGCTTTTTTTCACCAGTGGGAATGATTTCACAAAGATAATATCTGCAATGTACAAAAGTAATTTTCATTTTTTTCTTTTCATTTTGGATACAACCACATTTAAATACAATATAAAAAAGTGAAATCATTTAAAGAAAATGAGATATGAGCAACATCCTTTAAGAAATTTAATTTATTAAAATGTGTGACTAATGCAAAAAACATGTATGAATGCCAAATAACAATTATGAATGTGTCTCATGCACTGACCATGGCTTCCACGTCACAAATGGGGATGAAGTGTGGCAGTTTGTGTGTGTGTGTGAGGGGGGGGGGTGTTTGGGATACTGTTAATGACATACATTAAAATGTATAATTACTTCAATTCTTTTGTTACATTTTTGAACTCACAGTCTTTTTATATGTGTTAAATTATTCGTCTAATATGTTGTCAACGAGCAATATTTATCCTCTCACAGTGATGCATAAATACCGCTGTAGCACATGTACAAACTACTAGTACATGAGAGGCTGTACCACAGAGGTCCAATCGTTATGAACTTATATACAACTTAAGCTCAAACCTAAAGCAGGCACAGTCTGTGAATTACAGTGCTTTATGTTACAGCTAGTTACAAAGTGTTTTATATTACCTATTTTTTAAGCGAACCATTATTTCGCGTACAGTTGCCCGTGGACAGGAATCAGAAGAACCACGTTCAATGTGTATGTAATCAAGAGAAGCTAAATTGAGTGGTTTTTAAAAACATAACAAGTTAACTGTAAAACACAAAAAGTTAACTATTTTTCATAAACACCAAGTTAATTTTGAGGATTTCCTATGAATAAACATTGAAACAAAATATATTCCGTTCATTTATATAATTTTCTTATATAATGCTAGGTATGTCTTGGTTTAGCGCGCCATCATGCTGGGGCCGGCACATGTGCAAAATGGCAACCATGATCACGTTACGGCATTGTAAGAAATTAGGTAAGGTTTGATTATAACCAAAGTCTTACCGTGTTTTATTGAAAGTTTTATGTGTGGAAGAAGTGTGTTTTTTTTATTAAAATGACAACCACGATCACGTTACGGTATTGTAAGACTTTAGGCAAGGTTTGGTTATAATCTAAATCAAAGCCTTACGTTACAGTGTTTATTGCAAATTTTTATAACTGGAACTTAAGTGGAAGAAGTGTGTATTTTCTAAAATAAAATGTTCTGTTATTTATCATTGTGAATTGTGTAACGCGTACTTGTTATAATTTTACTTGTGTACACAGTCTAATGTCTAGCACTGCAATTGACTGCAATAGGAAGAAGTTTCACGAATGCTTTTATTAGTACTCCTATTTATGGTTTTTGACGTGTACTATTTGCACTAAATCATATAACTTCGTGTTAGCTTATCATTTTTTTCTTTGGTGATATTTGAATGGCATTTTATTGATATTCAAGTTATTAAAATTATTTTGGTATTTTTATACTTCCAGCCCTTTCATATATGGCTTTAGCTGATGAAATTTAGATACAATGTAGATAAAAAGCAATCACTCAGAATCAAATATACTAAAAAAATAGTAGTTAAAAATGATGAATTTTATAACATATTCCATTTGCAGTTTCAAAACACTTCACAACCCAAAGGTTCACAGAATGTCTGCTGTTGGTAAGTATTGTTTCCAGGCTTATTCATGTAGATCTTTTTGTAATGATTCCAATAATCCTCACAGAAAATAAAGAGGGTGTTTAGCCTACTATTATATTGTTGTGACAGAATGTTGATCTTAAAAAAAATTTTATAGCTTGTGCATAATATTTTCGCAACCTCATATTACATGTAGAGAAGTTCTATAATAGACTCTTTGGACTCCTTAGGGTCATTAGACTTACTAAGTTAGCATCAGATAACTCTGACTTAAACTGGGACATCCTTCTCATCTCATAGAACTGATGCCATATTCAAACTATCTACAGACACCTAAGAGTACAATTTAAATAACCTGTTTTTTTTTAATAGGACTTTTTAAGAATTGTTGTATTGAACTTATGTGTTAATTACCACATAGAGTATGTAGCAAAATATAAACAATACATAATTCAAAATTACAGAACCAACGTTGCTTGTCGTTGTCTGCAAACAGATATGCTGCACCTGTAGGACAGAAAAAGGCTTTTGTTCGCGATAAACCTCATATGAATATAGGAACCATAGGCCATGTAGACCATGGGAAGACTACTCTTACAGCTGCCATTACAAAAGGTAAATACAAAGAAGATCTTTTACTAGTTAGGCAAAGAAAATATTGATTTAAGTGTGCGTATGTGTTAGATATGTGCTTAAACAGTTTTTTTTTTTACGTAATTTTAAGTGAAAATATTTTGGAAAAGTATATATAACTTTGAAGACAGTGCAACTATGTTGAGTGACAAAATATTTACATAGTTTCAATATTTGAATAATGGTTCACCTTTTCATATTGATTATCCATTTCAGTCCTTGCTTCAAAGAACAAAACTGAATACAAAAAATATGATGACATTGACAATGCACCAGAGGAAAAGACAAGGGGCATCACCATTAATGCTGCATGTATTGAGTATTCAACAGATAACCGGCATTATGGACATGTGGACTGCCCAGGGCATAAAGATTACATCAAAGTAGGCTGCCTTGTTTATTCTTATACTTCCTAGGGTTCATCTTTTGAAATTGTGAATTATAAATCTATATTGAATTTGACAACAGTTTGTGTTGTGACTCTTGCACCCCATTTCCATAGATTAGATCGACCTACTTTAGATCGACCTAACTCCCTTGGGGTTCACGCTAAATAGCTGTCAGCCAGGCGGACACGAAAGTTAATTACCTCCGTTACAGCTTGTAGTAGGCGGGACGGACATTTAAGTCAGATTATCTGAAAGTAATCTAGTGAGACTCCCCGCGGGGATAGATCGATCTAAAATCTATGAGAATAGAGCCTTGTTCAGTAATCTCAGAAGTTGAAGAAGGTGAACATTGTTATATGAAACCCAAAAAATACATTTTTCAGAGATATGTGGTGGTTGTGGGATTTCCATATACATTTACAAATTTTATTGTGATGTGTGTATGTCCTCTACAATCTATAGGTACAGATGGCATTTATTCTCTGTTGTAGAATATGATAACAGGATCAGCACAGATGGAGGCAGCAATCTTAGTCATAGCTGCTACAGATGGTGTAATGCCTCAAACTAAGGAACACTTGATTCTTGCTAAACAGGTGAGTTTTGGTGATTATTATGGACTATTGGTAGCTAAGGCTTCTTCCAGAGGGCCATTCATCTGTCATTAAAAAGACCATTTTCTTGAGAGACTTTTGATGACTGGACAGCTTAAAAAATTTCTTGGATGTGAAGGCTTAAATTGTCAGAACTGGTTGACATACAAAAAAATTGTGGAAAGAATTTTGATTTGCCAAGATGATCATTATTCAAGAAACATTTATGTTTTTTGAAGTCAGCCATGGCTTTTGCACAATTTACTAAGATAAAGCTCCAGGTCAAAAGCCAGCCAGCTTGGATTATTTTCTTGTTTCAGTATATTTTTTCCATAATTTTGGGTCCTGCATTTACAGTTAAAGTTTTTGACTGGGTGTCAAAGCTCAAAATTTGTATATTGCTGTATTATTTTGACACTCTTCTTAGTTTACACTGAAGTTTGGCTGTTCAGCTTTAGCTGGCTTTTTTCATTTATATAAATGTTAACATTTTGCCAAAGTAAATATGGCAGTAGTTGTTATTTGACTTTGGTGTTTTTCTTATTTAAGTCATTAATTCATTTTCAGATTGGTATATCAAATGTTGTAGTGTTTGTGAACAAAGCTGATGCAGCTGATGCAGAAATGTTGGAATTGGTAAGTTGATAGCAAATTGCAGGGTCATAAATTTGAAATTTGCATTGATTAAATAAGAGAACTTCATAGGAATAAAAGTCAGAATTTTTTTCCAAAATTAGCATTAAATAAATGCCACATATATAAGCACAAGCATTTCTCTGCAGAACTATTTTTAATTTTTGTGTATTCTGAATTTGTTATGAAAATAGGTTGATATGGAGATGAAAGAACTGCTAGATGAGTATGGATTTGACTCTTCAAAAACTCCAATCATTGTAGGTTCTGCACTTAATGCACTAGAGGTAAGAAAAATGGGACCATCCTGTATATTTTGGAACTATCAGAGATTATTAACATATGACATGTCTGATATTTACATTGATTTGGCATCTTTTGGAGGCATTTCTTTGTTTTCCATAGAAGAACATAGTTGCGTGTTAAAAATTAGTGATTGTTAAGGTAAAAGTGGGATGGATGAATTTCTTCTTTTGTTGTCATTCTCAATTCCCCTCTGTGATCAGAATATTCTTGAAAGAAAATTAAAGTTATTTAAATTTTATACACATTTTAAGGGAAGTGATTNGGGGGGGGGGGGTGTTAGGGATACTGTTACAATTAATGACATACATTAAAATGTATAATTACTTCAATTCTTTTGTTACATTTTTGAACTCACAGTCTTTTTATGTGTGTTAAATTATTCGTCTAATATGTTGTCAACGAGCAATATTTATCCTCGCACAGTGATGCATAAATACCGCTGTAGCACATGTATAAACTACTGTACATATGAGAGGCTGTACCACAGAGGTCCAATCGTTATGAACTTATATACAACTTAAGCTCAAACCTAAAGCAGGCACAGTCTGTGAATTACAGTGCTTTATGTTACAGCTAGTTACAAAGTGTTTTATATTACCTATTTTTTAAGCGAACCATTATTTCGCGTACAGTTGCCCCTGGACAGGAATCAGAAGAACCACGTTCAATGTGTATGTTATCAAGAGAAGCTAAACTGAGTGGTTTTTAAAAACATAACAAGTTAACTGTTAAACACAAAAAGTTAACTATTTTTCATAAACACCAAGTTAATTTTGAGGATTTCCTATGAACAAACATTGAAACAAAATATATTCCGTTCATTTATATAATTTTCTTATATAACGCTAGGTATGTCTTGGTTTAGCGCGCCATCATGCTGGGGCCGGCACATGTGCAAAATGGCAACCATGATCACGTTACGGCATTGTAAGAAATTAGGTAAGGTTTGATTATAACCAAAGTCTTACCGTGTTTTATTGAAAGTTTTACGTGTGGAAGAAGTGTGTTTTTTTTTATTAAAATGACAACCACGATCACGTTACGGTATTGTAAGACTTTAGGTAAGGTTTGGTTATAATCTAAATCAAAGCCTTACGTTACAGTGTTTTATTGCAAATTTTTATAACTGGAACTTCAGTGGAAGAAGTGTGTATTTTCTAAAATAAAATGTTCTGTTATTTATCATTGTGAATTGTGTAACGCGTACTTGTTATAATTTTACTTGTGTACATAGTCTAATGTCTAGCACTGCAATTGACTGCAATAGGAAGAAGTTTCACGAATGCTTTTACTAGTACTCCTATTTATGGTTTTTGACGTGTACTATTTGCACTAAATAATATAACTTCGTGTTAGCTTATCATTTTTTTCTTTGGTGATATTTGAATGGCATTTTATTGATATTCAAGTTATTAAAATTATTTTGGTATTTTTATACTTCCAGCCTTTTCATTTATGGCTTTAGCTGATGAAATTTAGATACAATGTAGATAAAAAGCAATCACTCAGAATCAAATATACTAAGAAAATAGTAGTTAAAAATGACATATTCCATTTGCAGTTTCAAAACACTTCACAACCCAAAGGTTCACAGAATGTCTGCTGTTGGTAAGTATTGTTTCCAGGCTTATTCATGTAGATCTTTTTGTATTGATTCCAATAATCCTCACAGAAAATAAAGAGGGTGTTTAGCCTACTATTATATTGTTGTGACAGAATGTTGATCTTAAAAAAAATTTTATAGATTGTGCATAATATTTTTATGCAACCTCATATTACATGTAGAGAAGTTCTATAATAGACTCTTTGGACTCCTTAGGGTTATTAGACTTACTAAGTTAGCATCAGATAACTCTGACTTAAACTGGGACATCCTTCTCATCTCATAGAAGTGATGCCATATTCAAACTATCTACAGACACCTAAGAGTACAATTTAAATAACCTGTTTTCTTTTTTTTTTTAATAGGACTTTTTAAGAATTGTTGTATTGAACTTATGTGTTAATTACCACATAGAGTATGTAGCAAAATATAAACAATACATAATTCAAAATTACAGAACCAACGTTGCTTGTCGTTGTCTGCAAACAGATATGCAGCACCTGTAGGACAGAAAAAGGCTTTTGTTCGCGATAAACCTCATATGAATATAGGAACCATAGGCCATGTAGACCATGGGAAGACTACTCTTACAGCTGCCATTACAAGAGGTAAATACAAAGAAGATCTTTTACTAGTTAGGCAAAGAAAATATTGATTTAAGTGTGCGTATGTGTTAGATATGTGCTTAAACAGTTTTTTTTTATGTAATTTTAAGTGAAAATATTTTGGAAAAGTATATATAACTTTGAAGACAGTGCAACTATGTTGAGTGACAAAATATTTACATAGTTTCAATATTTGAATAATGGTTCACCTTTTCATATTGATTATCCATTTCAGTCCTTGCTTCAAAGAACAAAACTGAATACAAAAAATATGATGACATTGACAATGCACCAGAGGAAAAGACAAGGGGCATCACCATTAATGCTGCATGTATTGAGTATTCAACAGATAACCGGCATTATGGACATGTGGACTGCCCAGGGCATAAAGATTACATCAAAGTAGGCTGGCTTGTTTATTCTTATACTTCCTAGGGTTCATCTTTTGAAATTGTGAATTATAAATCTATATTGAATTGGACAACAGTTTGTGTTGTGACTCTTGCACCCCATTTCCATAGATTAGATCGACCTACTTTAGATTGACTTAACTCCCTGGGGGTTCACGCTAAATAGCTGTCAGCCGGGCGGACACGAAAGTTAATTACCCCCGTTACAGCTTGTAGTAGGCGGGACGGACATTTAAGTCAGATTATCTGAAAGTAATCTAGTGAGACTCCCCGCGGGGATAGATCGATCTAAAATCTATGAGAATAGAGCCTTGTTCAGTAATCTCAGAAGTGGAAGAAGGTGAACATAGTTATATGAAACCCAAAAAATACATTTTTCAGAGATATGTGGTGGTTGTGGGATTTCCATATACATTTACAAATTTTATGGTGATGTGTGTATGTCCTCTACAATCTATAGGTACAGATGGCATTTATTCTCTGTTGTAGAATATGATAACAGGATCAGCACAGATGGAGGCAGCAATCTTAGTCATAGCTGCTACAGATGGTGTAATGCCTCAAACTAAGGAACACTTGATTCTTGCTAAACAGGTGAGTTTTGGTGATTATTATGGACTATTGGTAGCTAAGGCTTCTTCCAGAGGGCCATTCATCTGTCATTAAAAAGACCATTTTCTTGAGAGACTTTTGATGACTGGACATCTTACAAAATTTCTTGGATGTGAAGGCTTACATTGTCAGAACTGGTTGACATACAAAAAAATTGTGGAAAGAATTTTGATTTACCAAGATGATCATTATTCAAGAAACATTTATGTTTTTTGAAGTCAGCCATGGCTTTTGCACAATTTACTAAGATAAAGCTCCAGGTCAAAAGCCAGCCAGCTTGGTTTATTTTCTTGTTTCAGTATATTTTTTCCATAATTTTGGGTCCTGCATTTACAGTTAAAGTTTTTGACTGGGTGTCAAAGCTCAAAATTTGTATATTGCTGTATTATTTTGACACTCTTCTTAGTTTACACTGAAGTTTGGCTGTTCAGCTTTAGCTGGCTTTTTTCATTTATATAAATGTTAACATTTTGCCAAAGTAAATATGGCAGTAGTTGTTATTTGACTTTGGTGTTTTTCTTATTTAAGTCATTAATTCATTTTCAGATTGGTATATCAAATGTTGTAGTGTTTGTGAACAAAGCTGATGCAGCTGATGCAGAAATGTTGGAATTGGTAAGTTGATAGCAAATTGTAGGGTCATAAATTTGAAATTTGCATTGATTAAATAAGAGAACTTCATAGGAATAAAAGTCAGATTCTTTTACCAAAATTAGCATTAAATAAATGCCACATATATAAGCACAAGCATTTCTCTGCAGAACTATTTTTAATTTTTGTGTATTATGAATTTGTTCTGAAATAGGTTGATATGGAGATGAAAGAACTGCTAGATGAGTATGGATTTGACTCTTCAAAAACTCCAATCATTGTAGGTTCTGCACTTAATGCACTAGAGGTAAGAAAAATGGGACCATTCTGTATATTTTGGAACTATCAGAGATTATTAACATATGACATGTGTGATATTTACATTGATTTGGCATCTTTTGGAGGCATTTCTTTGTTTTCCATAGAAGAACATAGTTGCGTGTTAAAAATTAGTGATTGTTAAAGGTAAAAGTGGGATGGATGAATTTCTTCTTTTGTTGTCATTCTCAATTTCCTCTGTGATCAGAATATTCTTGAAAGAAAATTAAAGTTATTTAAATTTTATACACATTTTAAGGGAAGTGATCGAAATACAAGTAGTGTTGCGCCATTTTGATTTTCTGTACTTAGGGAAGTAACCCAGAGTTGGGTGAAAAGAAGATTTTGGAATTGCTGGATGCTATTGATTCTCACATACCAACTCCAGTAAGAGACCTGGATAAACCATTCTACCTGCCAGTAGAGTACACATACCAAATTGAAGGTAGATGGACTTAAATTGTTTTATTATTAATCATTTTGGTCAGGCCAGCTTATGGTCTTGTTTGTTTATTTATTGTATTGGATGTGACTAGATTAAGCTAATATTATTATCATATATTTGTCAAAGCAGTGACTGTTTGTCAGCTTCAGGTGGATTGATTTATTTCTGAGCATTTCTGCATTTCTGGAAATATTCCCATAAACTAAATGCAAAGAACAGATGAACCGCTTTGAGTACATAAAGGTAACAACGATAAATGCAGTTATGGGGATTTAACATTTGTATTATTTTTTTCTTCAAGGTCGAGGGACAGTTGTAACAGGAAAATTGGAAAGAGGGAAGGTGAAGAAAGGTGAAGAATGTGAGCTTTTGGGGCATGACAAACAAACTAAAACTTTCATTGCAGGTAAGATATGTTTCATGTGGTTTTGTATAGGAATGCATTGCATGTTGTGTCAACAGTTATGCTTTTAGACAAGAGCAAATTCAGCTAATGGAATATTGTGAAGAATTTTGCAGTAGATTTCTGTACATTTCTTGTTATCTAGGTATCGAGATGTTCCGACAGACCTTGGATCAGGGTCAGGCTGGTGACCAGATGGGAATTCTGCTTCGAGGAATGAAAAGAGGTGATGTGAGACGTGGCATGGTTGTGGCCAAACCTAAGAGCATGAGCATACATAATCATGCTGAAGCATCAGTAAGTATTTGTTTTTCTTGCTCTAAAAAAAGAAGAAAAGGCACTGTCAAATACTTCTTTCTCTCTCTCTGACGTTCTGGCATGTACATAAAAGATATCTTTCTACTCTGTGAACAGCACAGTTATGTTTTACAATTTGCAGATATATTTGATGAGCAAAGAAGAAGGTGGCAGGCCTAAACCTTTACTCACTGGCATAGGTATGCACTTGTACTCTAAAACTTGGGATTGCCCTGGACAAATTAACATGGTTGGTAAAGACATGATGATGCCAGGGGAAGATGGGCCAGTTCAGGTGATACTAAGGAAGAAAATGGTAAATATTTTATGCTGTTGAACATCTCATGACATCTTTTTTTATAAATGAATCTTCTGGATACTGTCACACAATACTTTTTTTAAGTTTCAACTAAATTTTAACTGTTTAATAAGTTTGCAAAAAAGAAAGGTTGTTTTGTTGTTACAATTGCATCCCGTGTTATGTTACAGTGCAATAAAAGGTGAAATATTACTTTCCATTAAATAATAAAAGAATATCTGGTTGATTTTTAGGTCTTGGAACAAGGACAGCGTTTCACAATTCGAGATGGAACATTCACTGTGGGTTATGGTGTCTTTGGGAAGCCATTGGCTCATGTTGATATCGAGAAATTAGATGAAGAAAGAAAAAAAATAAGGAAACAGAAAGAAAAGGAAGCTTTGGAACGCGGCTATTAATTGAAAAACTGATGAGAAACATATTTGTACATTTTAATAGGCAAAGGAACATGACTTTACATCTAAATCAGTGCATTTGGTGGTAAAAGTTGATATGTACAACCTTCATAGAAGGAGGCCTTAATGTAAATACATGTAACAAGCTGATACCTGTCACATCAATCATTGAATCGTGGTAAGAGATTAGTATATAATAATAATTTTGAAAAAAATAAAAGAAAAAAATGGACTGAGTGAGAATCGAATCCCACTCTGACATGTTTGGCAGCCAAGGATGTTAGCACTCAGCCAGCATATCTGCTATCTAATTTAGTGTTATTGACAATATAAAATTCCTGTCACACATGTTGAAGTTTTACAGAAATTGCCGAAGGAGTTTAACTGTTATAATCACATTCAAACTACAGCCATTATCTTCCCACTGCCCTAAGGTATATTGAAAAGGGGACTTCAGTTGATCTCATATTACTTTATAGATGATGGGATTTTGTCTCTGTTTAATATATAACTAATATTATCATCATCTGAAAAAGAAATATGTTCATTCTTTTAGATTTTTAGACATTAGCTTGCAAATATGATGGGAGCAAATCCAATTCATTGTGGCGGATGTACATTGATCAGTTGTATAATACATTTCCTCTGACAGTATAAACTTGTCTTTGTTCTGTTATAGAAGTAACCAAGTTACAAATGGAAAAAATAAGTCTACATTTGCCATACCATGTTAATATGGGAATTTGAAGTATTGTGATTTTGCCAGTGTGATTTTCTGCAACAGAAAGTAACAAAATAATGTAGAGAATAAAACCTTCCAGGCAAAGAATGTAATCAGTGTTATTAGCAGCATCATTCATATAGATGCTTGTGGCATCAGTTGACATGAAGGCCTTGGCTTACAGTCTTGTTTAGCTGGCAAGAGCTTTGTATACATACAAATCAAGATTCACAGGAATGCAAAAGAAAAAGGAAAACAAAAGTGCACTTTGATGTACAACAAGTATTGAAATTATTATGGTCACTATTTCACTTGATTTCCATGGCCGACACATGCCTTAAAATTTCTCAAAGGAGAGACAAGGAATTTAAAATGTTCATTCAGTTTGTTGGTTACTCCGATTGCCATCTGTAGGCTTTGGCAAACTGATAGTCCATATCTTTAGTAGACAATTATCTTAAGATCACCATGTTATTTGAAAGTTATTGATGTCAATCTATCAGTCTATCAATCAATCAAACCATCTATTTATAAGCATGCAATATCTCTCCATGAGGAATATAATGATGGCTGTAGGTTTTAAAAAATTATTACAGTGCTTCGAAGATGTGCTATGTGCATATTTAAATAACCTGTTAAAAGATGCTTTGGTAAATATGTGAAGGA